ATATTTTTTATGAGTATTTCTGTGAATATATTGTTGAATATTTCTGTGAATATAGCTACTAATATTTCTGCAAACTTTTTAAAGTACATTTCTGCAGATTTTTTTAGAATATTGTAATGAATATTTCCTACAAATATCTTTATAAATATTTCTGCAAATATTTATACAGATATTTCTGCAAATATGTTCATGAATATTTCTGCAGATATTTATATGAATATTTCTGCAAACATTTCAAAGTATATTTTTGTGAATATTTTTAGAATATTTCTGCAAATATTTTTTTGAATATTTCTGCAAATATTTTTGCAGATATTTTAATGAATATTTCAATAACTATTTCTACAAATATTTATGTGGATATTTCTGCAAACATTTTAAAGGATATATTTTAGAATATTCCTGCGAGTATTTTAATGAATGTTTCTGGGGATATTTATACAAATATTTTAATAATGAATATTTTTGTGAATATATTTATGAACATTTCTGTGAATATTCATAGAAATATTTATATGAATATTTCTACCAACATTTTTGAAAATATTTTAATAAATATTTCTGCGAACATTTTAATGAATGTATTCTCGAAAGCCTTCAGGTTGGACACACTGGCTGCTGTGAGTTTTCCAGGCTTTACGGCCACATTCCAGCAGCATTCTCTCCTGATGTTTCACCTGCTTCTGTGGCTAATGGCATTTTCAGAGGTTCTGTTGGCAGTGAGGCAAATGGAGTGTCTATGTGCTGGTACGGCTGTACCAGGAGCTCCAACTTCTTTTCCTTTCTATTGAGTGTTTGCATGTATTCCAAAGTTCCATGCATTTTGCAATAAGGTGGCTTCCCTCAGTTTGCAATCATAGGGCCAATGACCCATCAATTATCCTTATGTTCTTTAGTTCTGCCCCTTTTTCTGGGTTAAGGAGGGGAAAAGGGGACCTCTAGTTCAGTTCACACAGAGAAGCCTTTCGTACAGGACGTGAATCAGTTCCACCCGTAGAAAGCTTCCTCTTTTCCAGCTTTGCTGGGGGGATCCAGTCCCACAGCTCTACAGGTAACGACAGCATAGCCTTTGTTGGGGAATCTAGTTCCACAACTCTACAGCCAGCTCTTTGCTGGAGAAATACAGCTCCACGGTTTTACAGCTGGGAATGGAAAGCCTTCTTTCCTCTTAGAAATCTACTAAAGGACTCTGTTTGGTAAGGACCACTCGCGGCAGCCATAACGCAATTGGGACCGGGTGTAGGGGCCCACGCCAGCAGAGCTTAAGCCAGATTGCCCAGGGAGAGGTCAGGGATTTCCCTTGTAGAAGGAAGAAACAGTTTATGAAGCAAGTTGCCTGTCCCTTGTGGACAAGATTTAAGCAAGCCACCAGTTGATTCAAAGCCTTGAAGCATTTGTTTGATTTATTGAAGATTTAAGCAACAATAAAAACTTTGTTGAACTTTCTAAGCCTTCAAAAGAACTTTGTGTGGGGAAATCCGAAAGGCCTCTCAGCCGAGGCACCCCGGCGTCCCGTTGGGCATTCAGGAAACTCGTCCTGTCTACAGACTCTTTCACAGGCCCAGCGCGTGACAGCACAGTATATATACATTATTTATGTTTATACAAATATTTTTGTGAATAACTTTGTGTGGGGAAATCCGAAAGGCCTCTCAGCCGAGGCACCCCGGCGTCCCGTTGGGCATTCAGGATACACGTCCTGTCTACAGACTCTTTCACAGGCCCAGCGCGTGACAGCACAGTATATATACATTATTTATGTTTATACAAATATTTTTGTGAATAACTTTGTGTGGGGAAATCCGAAAGGCCTCTCAGCCGAGGCACCCCGGCGTCCCGTTGGGCATTCAGGAAACACGTCCTGTCTACAGACTCTTTCACAGGCCCAGCGCGTGACAGCACAGTATAGATACATTATTTATGTTTATACAAATATTTTTGTGAATAACTTTGTGTGGGGAAAGCCGAAAGGCCTCTCAGCCGAGGCACCCCGGCGTCCCGTTGGGCATTCAGGAAACACGTCCTGTCTACAGACTCTTTCACAGGCCCAGCGCGTGACAGCACAGTATAGATACATTATTTATGTTTATACAAATATTTTTGTGAATAACTTTGTGTGGGGAAATCCGAAAGGCCTCTCAGCCGAGGCACCCCGGCGTCCCGTTGGGCATTCAGGAAACACGTCCTGTCTACAGACTCTTTCACAGGCCCAGCGCGTGACAGCACAGTATATATACATTATTTATGTTTATACAAATATTTTTGTGAATAACTTTGTGTGGGGAAATCCGAAAGGCCTCTCAGCCGAGGCACCCCGGCGTCCCGTTGGGCATTCAGGAAACACGTCCTGTCTACAGACTCTTTCACAGGCCCAGCGCGTGACAGCACAGTATAGATACATTATTTATGTTTATACAAATATTTTTGTGAATAACTTTGTGTGGGGAAATCCGAAAGGCCTCTCAGCCGAGGCACCCCGGCGTCCCGTTGGGCATTCAGGAAACACGTCCTGTCTACAGACTCTTTCACAGGCCCAGCACGTGACAGCACAGTATAGATACATTATTTATGTTTATACAAATATTTTTGCGAAGATTTTTGTAAACATTTTAAGGAATATTTTATGATGATTAGTGCAAGTATTTTTGGGGAGTCCTCTGTCTTGGTTCTCAAGGGAAAGCCGCTGCTGACCACACGAGAGAAGTGGGGCCAGCTCTGGCCCTCCTTTCCGCCTCCTTGGCTCCTGCACAAAGGCCCAGGTTTGGCCTGTAATTTCAGACAATTCCCGAGGGAAAATGCGAGGGAATTAAAAGACCAAAGGGTGTTGTGGCACGCCCTGCGGGGCCAGGTGGGGAAGCCCGCGCCGTCACTCACTCACTCTCCTCCTCCTCCTCCTCCTCCCACTGCCGCTCCTGCTTTCCTTTCCGTGGGGCAAAGGGACGCCTGCGCCCGGCTTCCGTGGAGTGTTTTCGAGGGCCTTGTGTAGCCTTTGCATCTGTTCCCAAGCTCTCTTTCATCAAGAGCTGGCTGTGCCACTCAACCAGAGTGAGTGTGCCTGTGTTTGTGTCTTTGGCGCTTCCTCTTCCGCCTCGTCCCTCCCATCCTGGTTGCCCCCAAAGACTGGGATTCCCCTGGAATAGTCACAGGTTACCGATGCTTTTGTTTGTTCGTAATGTATGCACACTTTCAAAATTGAGGTGCATATTGTCCTCCAGGAAATATGGGATAATTACATTCGGTGGCACATTATACTCAAGAAAATATGGTAATTTATTTTGGTGACACATTATACTTCAGTAAATACGGGAATTATTACATTTGATGGTGCATGATACTCGAGTAACTACAGTACATTCAATGGCATATTATACTCAAGTAAATACGGTAATTACCTTTGATGGTGCATTGAACTTGAGTAAATATGATAATTTCCTTTGGTGGGACACTATACTCCACTGAATATGATAAGTGCCTTTGGTAGGCATTATACTCGAGTAAATATGGTAATTTTATTTGATGGCACATTATACTCAAGTAAATACAGTAGTTGTCCTCAGAGGTGCATTATACTTGTGTAAATACTGTAATTGCCTTTGATGGCAGACTGTACTCGATTGATTACGATAATCACCCTTGATGGCACATTGCACTTGACTGTATATGGTAATTTCATTTGATGGTTCATTATACTCATGTAAATCCGGGAATTACATTCGGTGGTGCATTATACTTGAGTAAATATGGTTATTGTCTTTGGTGGCACATTATACTTGAGCAGATATAGTAATTGTTTTTGAGGGTGCAGTATACTCAGGCGAATACAGTCATTGCCTTAGATGCTGCATTAAACTGAAGGTAATACAGGAATTATATTCAGTGGCACATTATACTCGGATCAAAGACGGTAATTTCACTTGCTGGTGCATTATATTTGAGTAAATGTGGGAATTACATTCGTTGATGCATTATACTCTAGCAAATATGGTAATTTCATTTGGTGGCACATTAAATTTGTGGTAATGAGGGAATTGCATTTAGTGCCAAATTGTAGTTGAGCAAATACGGTAATTTCATTTGATGGTGCATTGTTTGGTGATGGCCTGTGATGGCGCATTGCACTCGAGCAAATATGGTAATTTCATTTGATGGTACATTGTATGATAATTGCTTGTGATGGCACGTTGCACTTGAGCAAATACGGTAATTTAATTTGGGGGCTCATTAAACTTGGGGTAATGCGGGAATGACATTTGGTGGCAAATTATAGTTGAGCAAATATGGTAATTTCGTTTGATGGTGCATTGTATGATAATGGCCTGTGATGGTGCATTGCACTCGAGCAAATACGGTAATTTCATTCGCTGGTGCATTATACTTGACTAAATGTGGGAAATACATTTGGTGACGAATTATAGTTGAGCAAATATGGTAATTTCATTCGATGGTGCATTATACTTGACTAAAGGTGGGAAATACATTTGGTGACAAATTATAGTTGAGCAAATACGGTAATTTCATTCGCTGGTGCATTATACTTGACTAAAGGTGGGAAATACATTTGGTGACGAATTATAGTTGAGTAAATACGGTAATTTCATTCGCTGGTGCATTATACTTGACTAAAGGTGGGAAATACATTTGGTGACGAATTATAGTTGAGCAAATACGGTAATTTCATTTGCTGGTGCATTATACTTGACTAAAGGTGGGAAATACATTTGGTGACGAATTATAGTTGAGCAAATACGGTAATCTCATTTGCTGGTGCATTGTATGGTGATGGCCTGTGATGGCGCATTGCACTCGAGCAAGTATGGTCATTGCATTTGCTGGTGCATTATACTTGAGTAAATGTGGGGAATACATTTGGTGGTGAATTATACTCTAGCAAATAGGGTAATCTCACATGATGGTGCACTGCACCAGAGCAAGTGGGGTAGTGTGGGAGGGGGCGTTGCCCGGTTGGCGCTGACGGATGCCTTTCTTCCTTCCGGCCTTAGGTTTGTGCCGGGGAGGGGGCTGGTCATCTACCCGGAGATCGGGGACAAGCTGGACATCATCTGCCCGAAGGCGGACCCCTCCCGGCCCTACGAGTACTACAAGCTGTACCTGGTGCGGCGGGAGCAGGCCGAGTCCTGCAGCACCGTCATGGACCCCAACGTGCTGGTGACCTGCAACCGGCCCGAGCAGGAGATCCGCTTCACCATCAAGTTCCAGGAGTTCAGCCCCAACTACATGGGCCTCGAGTTCAAGCGCCTCCAGGACTACTTCATCACCTGTGAGTGGCGGGCGGGAGGAGGGGGGGCTCAGGCACGGGCCAACGTCCAGGTGATTTGCACTCCAACTCCCACCATTCCTAACACTTGGAGAGAAAAAGCCAGGGAGCAATGCACCTCATAGTATTGGAGTTGAAATACAGGCATAAAGCAGGTATTGAAACGCAAGGCACAATAAAAGACATGAGACACAACTTGGAAGAAGGTCCTGCCCGGCCCTTTGCGTTCCTTCCCTTCCCTTCCTTTGTTCTTTCCCTCCTTCCTTTCTTCCTTTCTTCCTCCCTTCTTTCCTTCCCTCCCTCCCTTCCCCTGTTCCTTCTTCCCCTCCTTCCAGCCTTCCTTCCTTCTTTTTTCCTTTCCTTCTCGTCGCGCCAGGCCAGGCTTCTCCCTCCCTCCCTCCTTCCTTCCTTCCTTCCTTCCTTCCTTCCTTCCTTCCTTCCTTCCTTCCTTCCTTCCTTCCTTCCTTCCTTTCTTTCCTCCATCCTTTTATCTTTCCTTCCTTGGTTTCTTCCTTCCATTCTTCATTTTATCAATCATTCCTTCTGTTCTTCACTCCTTCCTTCCATCTGTCCTTTCCCTTCCCTTCCCTTCCATTACTCTCTTCTTCCTTCTTTCCTTCCTTCCTTCTTTTTCTCTTTGCTTCCTTCCCTCTCATTTCCCCTTTTTCCTTCCTTCCTTCCTTCCTTCCTTCCTTCCTTCCTTCCTTCCTTCCTTCCTTCCTTCCTTCCTCTTCCCTTCCCAGGATGCAGCTGGTGAGAAAGGCAGGCGAGGCCCTTGAGCCCAGGGAGAGGCTCCCTCTTCCTTCCTCCTCCTCCTCCTTCCTGCTCTTGGCCTTCACTCTCTTCCTTTGCTGCCTGGGGTCTGGAGGAGCGACCGGCCTTCCTTCCTTCCTTCCTTCCTTCCTTCCTTCCTTCCTTCCTTCCTTCCTCTTCCTGCTATATTTCCCCTTTCCTGTGCCTGGGCCGGACCCCGCTTCGCTTCCCCCAGCAAAGCCTTTCCCTTCCAACCTCCAGCCATGGGCTCCCGGCCCCACGCCTGCTGAGTGCCAAACTTTGCCCTTTGACCCCAGCTGAAGACCCTCCCTCTCCCCCCCCCTCTTTGGCCTTCTTGCCAAAGCCTTGGCCACCCAGGAAGGAAGCCTCGCGTGGAGGAGAGGCCTGCAAGCCTTCCTCCTGGCTGGCCGCCCCTGCCTCCTCCCTCCCTGGCGCAAGGGGAGGGGGTTTGTGAGGGGGAGGGGGGAGGGCCCCCCCTCTCTCTCTTCTTGGGCTCTTCCTGGGGCCCTTTCTTCGCCAGCCGGGCCCCCCTCCTTCCTTCGTTGGCCCTGAAGCACAGCTGCCTTGGAAGGAGGGGGGGAGGGGAGGGAGGCCCGGCCCCATGCGCCCCTCTCCCCCCCCATTTGGGGAGGGGCCTCTCTTTCGTGGCTGTGAGCTTCAGATCCATGGTGTGCATTTCCTTCATTGTTTCCCCCACATTTGTGTGGGTCCGCACTGGGCCTGGGGCTCTTGGTTGGGGGTCTCGGCCAACCCTTTCCTGATCCTGGACGACTTTGCATTCCGATTGTGTGCTGCTCTCTGCGCAGTGTAGTGTACGTGTTGTTGTTGTGTTGTGTCTGGAGCTGTTGTAATTATTACATGAGGACCCACGGGCCCCCCAGATGCTGTGGTATCCTAACTCAGTGCTTAGCCCATAGGTCTTTCACATATAAGACAAACAAATAAACACTTAAAAACCAGATTATTATATACACAATACACCATTAAAATCTATATAAATAAAATGTAATATATGTTTGTGGGATTAACAGAACTCAAAAACCACTGGATGGATTGACACCAAAATTGGAGACAAGACACTTCTCAGGCCAACAAGTGACCATCACTCACAAAAACACTGAAAAACACAGCAGAAGAAACTTTAAAAGCCAAAAAACAACAACATTCCAACGCATACTCAAAACCACATATATACACATATACACAAATACATACACACACATATATACACATACAAAACACATATACACAGACTGGGCCACAGCAATACATGGCAGGGGATGGCTAGTCTATATAAATAAAAATGCAATGTTCGTTTGTGGGATTAACATAACTCAACAAACACTGGATTGACGCCAAATTTGGACACAAGACACCTCTCAGGCCAGGGAGTGACCATCACTCACCAAAACACTGAAAAACACAGCGGAAGAGACTTAACAAGCCCAAAAAATAAAAAAAATACATTCCAACACATGTGCAAAACCACATATATATACACAAACACATATATACACATATACACAAATACACACACACACATATATATACACAGATTGGGGCACAGCAACGTGTGGCAGGGGATGGCTAGTTCTATATGAATCATTAAAATGCCACAGAAATCAATGAAGAGGCACACCCTTAAAAAGACGGCATAAAACGCTATATGGACTAGTTCCAACATGGTTACAAACCAAGTAAAATTCAGTATGATTAAGACTTGAGCAAGAAACACGTTGGATATTGACAACCACACTATGGTTGCGTGAACGCATCCCCGGAAGAGTCAGCGGTGTGTTTTCCTTTGCCCCCATTCCCCATGAGCCTTCTCCCGTAGTGGTCGTAGTGCCGGGATGGCGCCTTGTATGGGATCTCAGGGCTGGTGATGTGTTAAGGAAGGAAGGAAGGAAGGAAGGAAGGAAGGAAGGAAGGAAGGAAGGAAGGAAGGAAGGAAGGAAGGAAGGAAGGAAGGAGTTTTGTTATGAGGGTCACAGACCAGGCCTTGGGCCTCTCTAGGATGCCCCACTTTGTTTTCGCTGCCTTTGTTTACCAACTTCCCCTCCAACTTCCCTGCTCGCTCCATCCTAGCGGATGCCTCCTCGTGGATCTGAACCAGTGGGTCTCAACCTTCCTAATGCCGCGACCCCTTAATACAGTTCCTCATGTTGTGGTGACCCCCAACCATAACTCTATCATTATGAATCGCCATGTAAATAATGATCTGCAGGATGTATTTTCATTCACTGGAGCAAATTTGGCACAAATACCCGGTATGCCAAAATTTGAATGCTGGTGGGGTTGGGGGGGGATTGATTTTGTCATTTGGGAGTTGTGGGTCTGGGATTTACAGTTAGCCTGCAAACAAAGAGCATTCTGAACCCCACCAACAATGGAATTGAACCAAACTTGGCACACAGAACTCCCATGACCAACAGAAAATACTGGAAGGGTTTGGTGGGCATTGACCTTGAGTTTGTTCACCTACATCCAGAGAGCACTGTGGGCTCAAACAATGATGGATCTAGACCAAACTTGGCATGGATACTCAATATGCCCAAATGTGAACACTGATGGGGTTTGGGGAAAATAGACTTTGACATTTGGGAGTTGTACTTGCTGGGATTTATAGTTCACCTACAATCAAGGAGTGTTCTGAACCCCACCAATGATAGAATTGGGCCAAACTTCCCACACAGAACCCCATGACCAACAGAAAATACTGTGTTTTCTGATGGTCTTTGGCGACCCCTCTGACACCCCTTTGCGACCCCCTCAGGGGTCCCGACCCCCAGGTTGAGAAACACTGTTAACATCTATGTAACAAGGAATTGCCATGCAGGGTATGTGATCTTCCCAATGCTCCACTCTGGCACAAACTACAACACACAAGGACACATGCAGATCCATATTTTCAGTGTCTTTCCCCCCCCCCAAGGCTTCCGAGCCCCCCCCCCCCGCCCCAAGCCCCTCTGCAGCAGAAGGAGCCATTCTGTGGCGCACGGCTCTTTGTCTGGGAAGCTTGTCTGAAGACCGTGACCAGAGTGAATGTGATTTCGCTGAGCCTCCCTCCCTCCCTCCTTCTCTCTCTCTCTCTCTCTCCTCGCTCCTTCCTTCCCTCCTTCCCTCCTTCCCTCCCTCCCTCCCTCTGCCTTCGCTCCCTCCTTCCTTCCCTCCTTCCTCCTCCTTCCTTCCTTCCTCCTTCCTTGTCGCTGCTGCGGCTTGGTTTTCCTGGCTCCTGGCAGCTGTGTTTTGTAGCTCAACCTTTTCAGGCCTCTCCTCCCTCCCTCCCTCCCTTGCAGAAGGCACCACAGGCCCCACACACACACACACACGCATGTACGCTTGGTTAGATGCATGGGGTTTTCTTGTAAGAGCAGAATGGAGTTTTTAAAGAGCACAAAGAGGAGGAGGAGGAGGAGGAGGAGGTCTCGGTGGCGTGAGACGATCCACTGCTTCTGCTTTTGCCGTTGCCGTTCCTCCCTCCCACAGACTGGTGTTGTGTTGTGGCTGGTTGTGATTATGTGGCTGCGCACTGGCTCCTTCCTTGTGGTGGGCGCATAAGCCGGCCCTGGGCAGGAGGGCAGGAGCCCCACCACGTCTGGGGGGGCCTGAAGGAAAGGACACGGCTGCCTTCCTTCTTTTCCTCCCTTCCTCCCTTCTTTCCTTCCTCCCTTCTTTTGTTCTTTCTTTCCTCCCACCCTCCTTCCTTTCCTCCTTTCCTCCCTTCTTCTTTCCCTTTCTTTTCTTCCTTCCTTCCTTCCTTCCTTCCTTCCTTCCTTCCTTCCTTCCTTCCCTTCCCTTCCCTTCCCTCCCTTCCCTTCCCTTCCCTTCCCTTCCCTTCCCTTCCCTTCCCTTCCCTTCCCTTCCCTTCCCTTCCCTTCCCTTCCCTTCCTTTTTTCTCCCCTCCCTCCTTCCTTTCCTTCCTTCCTTCCTTCCTTCCTTCCTTCCTTCCTTCCTTCCTTCCTTTCCTTCCTTCTCCCTCACTTCTTCCCTTCCTTCTCAGGAGGCAGCTCTTCCTTCCTTCTTCCCTGCTTCTCTTCCTCCCTCCCTCCTTCCTTCCTTCCTTCCTTCCTTCCTTCCTTCCTTCCTTCCTTCCCCTAATATACCTTTTCTCTCTTGCTTTTTTCCCTTCCTTCCTTCCTTCTCTTCTTTCCTGTCTGCCTTCCTTTACTTTTTCCTCCCTCCTTCCTTCCTTCCTTCCTTCCTTCCTTCCTTCCTTCCTTCCTTCC